GCAGCTGCTAGCACTTCAGGGCATAGGTAACGGTCCCAATAGAAATATGTAAATTAATAAAGTGTAGCGCTATAAACGCACAAATAATATGAAAATATATATACGATAATTCTTATAAGATATATAGATGTAAAGTAATAAAGTTCTATTAAGTGCAATTGTGCATATAAGTGAATCAAATGTCCAGAATATATCTAAAATCAAATCAGCAAAAATGAGCAATAATAGTCCTCAGGTTGATTTGCAATACATCCAAGTGAAAAAGTGCAGATGTGCATATATCCATGGAGGGAATCCACCACCTCAGATTGGTGTACACTCACCAGAAATTATATATTAGCAGGCATCTGTTACAATCTGTCACATCTGTGTGCAGGAACAGAGAGGCAGCTTAGGGGTTAATCCTCCAGCATCATCCATGTACAGGTAGGGCGAGTGTCCCTTGTCTTGGGAAAGATAGCTCAACCACAGCAGCAAGAGATGCTTATATAGTGTAGTATTTATTATTCATATATCAGTTTACATGTATTAAAAACGTTCCACGTGGATTAAGGTAAAAATACAGGTACCAAGATGGCCACCGCTCTTCAGGGGTACGCCCATTGCCGACGTCAAGTGCAGGTCTCATTTAAATAGCTCGCAAGGCGCGAAACTCCGGAGATGCCGGCGCCATTTTGTTGACGATTTATGGTCATGTGATTTACTGCAGCCATCTTGCCGGAGTCCTATCCGGAGATATTGGTGGCCAATTTATTGTGGATAAAAACTTATACTATTAGAGCGGATCGGATATTGCTCCATAACCCATTTATTTTGTGTTATCAGCTTGAATACAATATTTAACTATGCTATCCATACTCTGATGTTATATGGGTATCTTCCGATACCAATAAGAGGGGGTAAAATATTATTAAATATATGTGGCTAATAAGCATGCGTGGGGCCAAAATATGACAGTCCTTTTCTGTTATGTAATATATATCAGTGATATTAGAGCACACGTAAAAACAAATAATGGTATGTGTGATATGTAATCACATATGTATGTTAAAAGTTCAAAGCCATTGGAATGATGAAACCTCAAAAAAAAAAAAAAATAAATATAAAAAAAAAAAACAAAAAACAAGGATACCTCGCTGTAATACCAGCGAACAAACCCTGCTATTCATAAAAAAGCGCCTTGCGAACTAAAAAATGACAAATAAAAATGAACAATAATAAGTGGAACAACATTCCATTAAAATTATTAATAATTGACAAAATATGGATAAAATATGATGTTATACATTCAAATATTAATATCTCATTCATGTATAATGGCAATCGAGTAATTATGATAATGGTCAAAAATATTGAGTATTATTTGAAACAGATAATTAATGATTAGAATTATAGGCCCAAATTCATTAACTGATATTATAGAATAGAATATACTAAAATAATTATTATAGAATACGACTGCTAAAAAATCATTGTTTGCTTAAAAAATTATCTTATCCAAAAGTAGGCAGTACAGTATTTAATAAAACACTTATAATAATCCATTAAAAATGAATGTAATATCTAAAATGGTATGAGGTATATAAAAATGAAAGTATAACTTCAAAGGTGTGCATAGAATATCTGGTCCTATCATTTTTCCATATGTTAGGTCAGTAGTAGTAACCTCAACTTTTTTCAACAAAACAAGTAATGTCTATGTCTACGTTGTGGCCCTGGGGGGTTAAGGATTTCATTTTGTATATCCACTTTGTCTCAGGTTGAGCAATTGCCCTTCTTTTATTACAACCCCTCAAATGTGGGTTAAGTATATCTATGCCCACAAATTTGATGTCATGTGGATTTTGTGGTGGAAGTCCCTACAATGTTTTGACAGAATGTTCTCTATATCCTTTTTTAATGTTATAGACATGTTCCCGCATTCTGTATCTCATACGCCTTGTAGTTTTTCTTTCATATTGCTTATGGCATGAGCATGCTAGTAGGTATACTACGTGTTTGCTAAAGCAGGAGATGAATGCATCTATTTGGTAGGTTTTATTGGTTACACGTGAGGTTAAGGAAGTAATCTAAGGGAGTCTTCTACCACTTAATAAACATATGGGACATCAGTTACAGGGATGAAAGCCTTTAAGTTCTCCAAAAAAGGATATTTTCTTAGGAGGATCAATGACATTTGGAGCTATTTTATCTCTTACTGAAGGTGCTCTTCTATATACCACCTCCGGTTTTTGGGGAAGAAGGTTCTTAAGTACCAGGTCATTCTTAAGAATGTTCCAATGTCTATTAAATATGTTCTTAAATTGGAAGTGATGTGAAGAATAGTTAGTTACGAATGGACAAACCATCTGGGATTGGGATCTTTTATTATCATTAGTTAATAAAAAGGCTCTATCCACATTGGCTACTAGTTGGATAGTATCATTAAGGGAGTCTCTAGAATACCCTTTTTCCAAAAATCTTCTTTAAGAATCTCGGCCTGTGAGTGAAAATCAGGCTATGACAATTGCGACTTTGTGTTTTTTGTTTCACGTATCACATTAATAGCCAATATTATTATTATTATTATACAGTATTTATATAGCGCCAAAAGGTTTGCTCAGCGCTGTACATTATAGTGGGGGACAGTACATGAGACAATACAGTAACAATACAATACACAAGGGGTTCGAGGGCCCTGCTCTTTCGATCTTACAATCTAGGAGGGAGGGAATAGTGGTACAGGAGGAAGTGGCTGTGGGGGATGGAGTGGTAGGAGGAGTGGAGAAGATCAGCTGTTAGGTGAGGGTGGGGTAGGCTTCCCTGAAGAGGGTGCGCCTGAAGGTGAGGAGGGTAGGTGACAGTCTCATGGAGTGGGGTAGAGAGTGTCAGAGGATGGGGGAAGTCCTGGAGAAGTCCTGCAGTCGGCGTGGGAGGAGGAGACCAGGAAACTAGAAAGTAGGAGGTCTTGTGAGGAGTGAAGAATACGGGTTGGGTGGTATTTGGATATCAGGTCGGTGAGGTAGTTTGGGGCAGCGTTATGAATGGCTTTGTACGTCAGTGTTAGTAGTTTGAATTTAATGCGTTGGGCAATTGGAAGCCAGTGGAGGGAATGACAGAGGGGGGTGGCAGAAGTGGAGCGGTTGGTAAGGTGGATGAGTCTGGCCGCTGAGTTCAGGATAGACTGAAGTGGGGATAGACTGTGTTGGGGTAGGCTGGTGAGAAGGGAGTTGCAGTAGTCCAGACGTGAGATAATAAGGGAGTGAACGAGTTGTTTAGTAGTGTCTGAGGTTAGGAATGTACGTATCTTGGAGATGTTGCGGAGGTGGAGCCTGCATTAATTTGCCAGTGATTGGACATGGGGTTGGAAGGATAGGTTCTATATTCTAATATAGGTTCAATATTCTAATATATTATAAAAGTATACCAGTATTCTAAAAGTATTTTTAACACATTGTAGAATACAGTAAGAATACAGTAAATTGTTCTTTTTGGTTCAAGTATATAGTAAAAAATTGTGATTACTACTCCACTGCTTGTTGCCTTAAGGGAATATGTAGTCTATGAAATTCTCTTATAATGCCTGCCATTGTAAGAGTGTCATCGACAGAGCAATTTATAGATCCCTGGTGACTAACCTGCAGCCTTCTGGCTCCTATTGTGCCACCCTCAGGACCTCTTTATATAATATCCCAGGTTTTTCTTACCTAGGTGCTTGCTCAAGCCATTTTTTTTAGACTGGATTCCAAACTAAATGATTTGGCTGAATTCTTTCCTGCTATCTTACTATTTTATGTGCTTTGCTTGTTTTAGGTTTTTATAAAAGATCTTGCTGAGAGAAATATCACGTGTGATACAAGTAGTGATTAAAAGATAAATTCACCTTTTAGACAAATATAATAAATGCACATTTTTTTGCAGGTAAAAAAAAATGTGCATTTATTATTTTGTCTGCATGAGCCTGGAAAGCATTGCACCAGTGATCAGGAAATTACTCATGCCATGCAGGTCTCCTGCAGCCCTGTCAGAATACCCGCTTCCTGTACAGGGATGCATAAGCAAGCAGATATATTGACAGGAAGCTTCATTGAACTACGACTGAGCTCCACAGCACTGTGGTAGTTCATTGAAAACTACAAGCCAACTGCCTCTAAGACTGTTGGGACTGGCAGTTCATTCAGTCACGGAAGTCCATGAATGAATGATGCGGCCATGTGGACGGAGCCCCGCATGACCACGCTGTTTTTAAATCTGACAGATAGTACGGGGAGACTTCTCCCCATATTATCTGTCGGGGGGCAGCAGGCGCAGCGGCAGCATTGACAACATGTTACATGTTCCACCCTAAAAACAGGTAGAACATGTAATATGTTCCCAAAGGGTCCTTTACCTTTACCCTAGGTCAGTGATGGCGAACCCGTGGCACGCGTGCCACAGCCAGCACGCCGAACCTTATCTGTGGGCACGCCAGGAGAATACCGTATTTTTCGCTCCATAAGACGCACTTTTTTTCCCCAAAAAAAGGGGGGAAAATGTCAGTGCGTCTTATGGAGCGAATATAGAGCGGCCGGTCCGGTATTTCCACCGCCGCCGTGTCAGAATACCGGGCCGGCCGCTCAGCTCTGCAGTAGGACCGTACCTGTCCCTCTATCCAGCGGCGCGCTGTCTTCCTGGCTTCTGTAGTGTGCGTGACAGCTGGGTCCCAAGTGCGCATGCGCAAGAAGCAGTGCTCTTTGTGAATGGTAAGGCGGTACCTGGGACACATGACAGATCCCAGAAGCCGCCGGACCAATCACAAAGCGCAGCGCTTCTCGCGCATGCGCACTGGGCAACCGGCTGTCCGACGAGCGCCCACACTACAGAAGCCGGGAAGACAGCGCGCGGCTGGATAAAGGAACAGGTAAGATAAAAAAAAAAACTCTGCGGAAGTAAGAGCGGGTACCTGTCAAATTCAGGTACCCGCTCCCCCTCCCTCCCCAAAGGTCAGCAGTCATCTGTACTGTCCGCAGTCTCTGGTTATCCCTGTACTGTCTGCAGTCTCTGGTCATCCCTGTGCTGTCCGCAGTCTCTGGTCATCCCTGTGCTTTCCGCAGTCTCTGGTCATCTCCTGTACTGTCCGCAGTCTCTGGTCATCCCTGTACTGTCCGCAGTCTCTGGTCATCCCTGTACTGTGTCCGCAGTCTCTGGTCATCCCTGTACTGTCCGCAGTCTCTGGTCATCCCTGTACTGTCTGCAGTCTCTGGTCATCCCTGTGCTGTCCGCAGTCTCTGGTCATCCCTGTGCTTTCCGCAGTCTCTGGTCATCTCCTGTACTGTCCGCAGTCTCTGGTCATCCCTGTACTGTCCGCAGTCTCTGGTCATCCCTGTACTGTGTCCGCAGTCTCTGGTCATCCCTGTACTGTCCGCAGTCTCTGGTCATCCCTGTACTGTGTCCGCAGTCTCTGGTCATCCCTGTACTGTGTCTGCAGTCTCTGGTCATCCCTGTACTGTGTCTGCAGTCTCTGGTCATCCCTGTACTGTGTCCGCAGTCTCTGGTCATCCCTGTACTGTCCGCAGTCTCTGGTCATCCCTGTACTGTTAATTAGTTTGCACTACTGTACGAGTTGTTTTTTCTAAACCAAAAGCTCGATATTCAAGTTTCATTGCAGTGTTGGCACTTTGAAAGAAATAAGTTGGTTTTGGGTTGCAGTTTGGGCACTCGGGCTCAAAAAGGTTCGCCATCACTGCCCTAGGTTCATGCTTACAGTCCATTTAACATGATTTCCTATGGGACATGTTCACATCTCCACGTTTTCACCCGATGCATTTTTTGGAAAGGGTCAGGGACTTTTTTTAACTCAAAAAGTTGCGTTTTTGGTTCTATAGACTTCAATAGAAATGCTGCAGAAAAGCATGTAGTTTGTTTTTGCTGAGGTTTTACTGCATTTGTGATGCTTTTTAAATCTGTCTAGCAACAATAAAATTTTTTTTAAAAAACCCCGCAAAACACAAAAAATTTGTCAAAAAACGCAGAAACGGGTCGAACACAACTTGCATAGGTGTGAACGTAGCCTTAACGTGGGTATGGAGCAAAAATGCTAAATTTGTAAAGGAACTGTAGTAGCATTGATTTCTAGCACTCTCATGATGTGTCTCCAGTCTATGGCTGTCTCCTAAAACATGTCCCCAGTCTTCAACAACTCATATTTAGTCCTGCATTAATCTTTGGCAAACTCCTATAGAAATTCTGCAGTCTTTGACATTCTCCTGTTGCATGTCACCAGTCTCTTAACAACTTTCAGTAGCATTGCATTCACTGAATATTATGCAGGGACGGACTGACCATTTGGAAACTCAGGCACTGCCCGAGGGCCCGGGGTCAGTAGGGGGCCCCATGAGATGCCCCTGGTACCTTTTTCATAGGCTTTTTTGAGTTTGGGCAAGGACACAGGGGCCCCATGATCCCCTATTGCCCGGCAAGGACACAGGGGCCCCATGAGTTGTCAGTCTGCCCCTGATATTATGTATAGCCTTTTGGCAATCTCAGAGATTGCAGTTGAAGACCCTTACTGTATGTCAGGTAGGTTAACCACCACGGCCATAGACAGTCAAAAAAAAAAAAATGACAGCATCTCAAGATAACTGTTGCCCAGTGTGTTTGTTATTGAGTTGCAGAGTTTTGCACCAGATATGACGTTGTAGTGTGAGAGGCAGGCATAATATGTGGCAAATCCTCTGAAAATATGTAATATGCCTTGTTAGATTTCTAATCTGTTACAGATGCAGCACTACAATAGCTTAGAGCTATCATAGTGGGAGAGACACTTTATATACTGTTCATACAAGCGTCATGTTTTTAGAGGACCAAATACTTGGTGCTTTCATACCTCTGCCTTCTTTGTTATAATAAAACCAACTTGGATATTTCTGATAAAAAAAAAAAACAATAAATACACCAAGAACCTGTATATGCGTAAACAGGAATAAGTACATTCCTTTTTTTTTTTTTACATTTTTTGATCCCTTTTCCTGCCCTTACAATGCTGATTACGGAAACACCAAAACATGCATTGTTGTGCTTGGCAGCACAGGTGTGTGCTAGCATTTGTACTTGTGCATTGGGATGCCATTCAAAATGAATGACACAGCATTATATTATTATTATTATACAGGATTTATATAGCGCCAACAGTTTGCACAGCACTTTACAAAATGAAGGTAGACATTACAGTTACAATACAGTTTGGTATGAGGAAACAGAGGGCCCTGCTCATTAGAGTTACAATCTAGGCATCACAATTGCAGTTTTCCTGCTTATTAGATATGAGCTCAAGTGTTCTCCAATCTGTAGACAAAATCTGAACTTGCGCTCTTTTTTTCTTACTCCAGCTGTGGGATGGGTCATTATCATCTTTCAGCTCACGTAAACAAAGAGGCAGGCTGCAGTGTGAAAATGGCTCAGCCTGAAGCTCACTGGAGTAAAAAAAGAGCATAGGTTCAGCCAGTGGTGTATTTAGGTTTTGTGCTGCCCTAGACAACACAAAAATCAGCACGCCCCCCCCACCTCACAGAGAGAGCCTCACATTGTCCAACAACACCCCTGCCCCCAGCCCGAGAGAGCCTTCCACTACCACTGCCCCCCATACACCAGTCCCCATCCCTCGTGGTGAGAGAGAGAAAGACACTAACCTTCACAGCTCTGGACATCCCCAGGAACGAGAGTTGGGCTGTTCATACACCATCATGAATCCCGCAGCCTCTCTCGGAACCCACCAGGTCCCAATTCTGCGTGTGTCCCTCCATCCGTCCAGTGCTGCCCTCCCTGAAAAATGCCGCCCTAGGCAAATGCCTTGTTTGCCTTGTGGTAAATACACCCCTGGGTTCAGTTAGAGAGAAGTTCAGACAATGCATGAGCTCATCTTTATCGCTCATTACTGCCACAAATAGGTATAAGGTGTGCGCTATGAGGACACAGGGGTTTACTAAAGCTGGTTCACTCAGAATCTTGTGCACTTCTACATGGAAACCAATCAGCTTCCAGGATTTTTTTGCTACCATGCACAGGTGCATGAGATTTTGCGTGAACCAGTTGTAGTAAATCTACCCCACAGTGTTCAAGCACTGATCCAAGCTCATAGCATTGTTTACTTTTTTTTTGTTAGAATGTTATTGAAATGCCATTTCATCAAAGTGGTTCTAAAGCCTTAAGGTGTTTCACCTTAATGCATTCTATGATGAAAAACCTTCTGTGCTGCAGGATACCCCCCCAAGCTCCTCCTTTATACTTACCTGAGCCTGAACCAGTCTAGTGCAGGAGCAGCGGCTATCACCACTGTCTCCCCTCTCTGGGAAGATTGACGACAGCGGGAGCCATTTGCTCCCGCTGCTGTTAAAGCTGTGCCTAGCCAGCGGGGGGAGGGGGTGGCTTGGGAGCGAGCTGACGTGTGCCCCCATGGAAAGTGGTTTTCCATGGGGGTACCTGCCAAACAGCAGGAGCCTGGAGCGTCTGCAGGGAACCACAGAAGAGGATGATCCAGGCTTCTCTGTGCAATACCATTACACAGAGCAGGTAAGTATACCATGTTTGTCATTTTAGTAAAAAAAAAATAACATAAAGGTTTAATGTTGCTTTAAGTTCTATTTACCACCGCAGCACTGTGATGTGTTGGTTCGCATTGCAACCTGCTGCTTTAAAGAAGAACACAGCAACACAGTAGTGTCAACTGACACAATAGGAAGCAAATAGCCTTGTTTTTCCATTGGGAGTGCCCAGGGCAAGGCTGCTCAGCGCCCAGGTCCTAAAGTCTTAAGGAAGGCAGTGTTGGGAGATTTATTGTATGTAACCTTCCACTGGCTTCCTCATTGACTAAGCCATGGGTGTCAAACTGGTGGCCCTCCAGCTGTTGCCAAACTACAACTCCCATGAGGCATTTCAAGATTGACAGTTACAAGCGTAACTCTCAAAGAGAGAGGCATGATGGGACTTGTAGTTTTGCAAGAGCTGGAGGGCCGCCAGTTTGACATCCCTGGTCACTAAGCGATTATTAAAAATCAATGTGACAGCCCAGCTGCCATTTTCAGATACTGTTCATTGCTGGAGGCTTAACCTCCCTGGAGGTATTCCCGAGTGTAGCTTGGGGTAAAGTTTCAGTACCACAAGCGGTAACCCCGAGCTACACTCAGGAATACCTTGCAGCGTTGTTCCTGGATCCCTTCTGCACTTACCTTGTCCTTCGCTCCTGCGATGTCCTCCCTGCAGCATCCTCGGTAATGTCCTCTGGCCGATGCCGGCATCTGTCTTCCGAGTTCCGTTCCCTGCGACGTCAGAATGTACGGGGACGGAACTGGCGGGAAATTTAAAACTGTCAAAAAGTGACATTTACTCAATACACTAATATCTCATAGTAAAACTTTACTTTATCAAACCATTTCACATACATGTTGTCCCAAGTGCTTTGCCCTGTGCCCTGCCTGCATTTTTACTGTTCTTTCTGCCTGGAAACTGAGAAAAGTACATGGCGTCCAAAAAGCATCCCTTTATGTAAAAAGCGGTTTTAGACCAGCTAGAGAACAGCGATAGTAAATTAGAACTACTTGCAGAATTGAGTGATAATGATTCGTGGGGAAATTCGTCATCAGACATTGAAATCGATTTTGCGACTTTGCTCAGTGATGTGCGAACTTGGCGTTATATTTCAAATTTCAGTGTTTTTGGTTTGATTATATTATTGAATTAAATTTATTATTATTAAATTGTTATTTTTTATGCTTATTTATTAAATTTTAATTTATGATTTCGTGTTTCAAATTTTAACATACCCGGAATGTTTTCTAGACTCTTGTTCGGACAGATTTCAGTGAGTTATTCCTAAAAATTACAGGCCTACAATAAAAAAAATACATATTTCCATGCAAAAAAATGTACCGCTTTGAGCACAAAATTACTGACATAATCAGACTGCTAGGGAGGCTAAATATTTCTATCTGCACAGGTTCCATAGCCAAGGCTCTTTGATCACTAACAAAGGGAAAAAAAATGTTGATAGTAATACAACCCAGTTTATGTGCATTGCATATTCAAAAAACAAACAACAGAGTTAATTTTTTTTCTTCTAAAATAGCTTTTTTATTTAATATAATCAGCACATTTACTGACATCAGAACAGCAGTTGCCTAATTTTTCTTTATGCAAGCAACTAAAGGCAACATACCAGTGAATTAATGCTGTCTACAAAAAACTGCCCTGCAGCTGCCTAAAGGAAGCTGCTATAAATTAAGGCAACTGATATTCATATTATAGATCTGTTTAAATCAAAAAATGAATGTGTTTTTTCTCAGGATCTTCTTATTACTGATCTAATCCAAGACAGAAAGGATGAAACACGAGTGTAAACATCAGGAGTAATTGGATTGCCGCAGCGGAATCCGGAGAAAGAAACCACTCCTTCAATGTGGTTCTCACAAACAAGGGGTCCTCCAGAGTCGCCCTATAAACAGGAACCATACACAGGCATGAATTAGTTACTTGTTAGGATTGTTCTATGTGTTAGCAAAGATCAGCTTCTTACTTACAGAGCAGAAACCTTTGATGCGCAGCCCAGGGCTTGCGGTACAGATCATGGTGTCAGAGATGCTCTGTTTCCAAGACACATTACAAGATGCACGAGTGATCACATTTACATCTGTTTCCATCAGAGTTGTGGGTAAAGTCCCAAAATCTGACACATATCCCCAGCCAGCAACAGAGCAAGCAGTCCCGGGAAATACATCTGTGTCAGCGCGAGGAAGGTTAATGGTTTTTACACTGGGAGTAATACTGGCTGATGTGTTCAGCTGAAAAGAAAAAATGGCAAATTTAGAAATAAATATGAGGAAAAAATCTATAAAAGTAGTTTCTTAAACAATTATCCAAGACTATTCAATGTCAAATGTTTCACATGCTGCTCCAGGCAAGATCAGGTTTCACAATCCACAATCTTTTCTCAGGTGTTGGCTTGGCTTGTCTCCACCAAAGTAACTGGTTGTATCAGTAACAGGCATGGCACACACACCGAGATGTAAAATAATATTCCTCCTTTAATCAAATACCCAGTAGGAACACGTTCTTTTCTGACATGTTTTGCACTAGGCACAGCACATTCTAAAATAAACTTTCTGTGAGAAAGTGCTGTGCCTAGCATGAAATATGTCAGAATAGAACTTGTTCTTGCGGGGTATTCTAATAAAGGAGGAATATTATTTTGATTCTCAGTGTGCGGCATTCCTGTTGCTGGTACATTTAATTGTTAATTTCATGTGAAAAGCACAAATCAACTAAATTGTATTTTTTTTAAATCAAATATCCCAATTACCCTTTCTCCATATGAAGAAAAAGGTCCAAAAGCAGTTCTCACCACTTTCATGCTCCACCATTGCACTTCAAATCCTCCCTAGATCAAGGAACCTGTTCACCATCCAGGTTAAATGAATTAACTTAATTTTGGGTTTAGGATGTCAAGGACATGCCCCTGGGGGTACATCATTAAGCAAGGCTTACAGGAAATAGTTGCAGACAACAGTGCTCACATTATGACATGGCACTGTCCTCTGCATTGAAGATAATCCACTGCAATGGAACGGGACCCCAAGATGCCATGTCAGTAGAGCTCAAAGAGCACAAAAATAAGTACATATGCACCAAACAGAATCTCATACAGATAGCTGTGTGAAATAACCTCAGAACAGCTTCTGTTTCAGTTTCCAGGCTGCAAGGCCAATAAGGACACACTGAGGTGTTACATAATTACAAGTAACATGCATATAGGACACAGCAAGAAGCAGAGAGAGACTGAATCCTCATAAGGAACGCTATGACCTGCACAGCTCTTCCAACCAGAAAGATGAATTATCTTTGCATATTTTCCAAGATATTTCTTAGATTTGTTGACAAAATGAACAACTTCTTGATTGGTCCAAGTTTGCATAGATATAGCTAAAATCTTTTTTCTAGATGAAGTGCCATTTAATGCTCCTGTGACAGGACATCAAACAGAAGCAAAATTATTCCTTATATTATTGGTCAAGTGGCAATAATAAAATTGACCATCAAATGTTGAATGGCTGCATGGGTGAAAGAAGTGAGCTTACCTTCAGCAGGTGAAGGTCATTCTGAAAGGTGTTTGGGTTATATCCTGGGTGCTGGAATGATTCTTGGATAGGTGATACCTGAACAAAGTTATCTGGTTGATTCAGGTTATGAGCTCCAAGAACAACCCGTACCATGTCCACAGGTCTGTAATAGAAAATTTGTTTTACTTCTCTTTTTTGTTATTGGTGCAGTAACATGATATGAATGGTAAATTCAGGACTGTAATTTTTCCGAGCTTCAAATATTAAAATATGTTTTTTTTTGTAAAGTTCATCTAAAGCCAGATTTTTCTTTACAATTAATTTTATTATAGACAGCAAAACAACAAAGAAACAGTCAGAGATAAGCTCGTTGACACCAAAAAAGTAAGGTGTACAATTCTGTTGATGAAGGACATGGCAAATGCACTGACATATTGACACAGACAGAAGCGAAGTGTAAAAACACAATCTTTAAAGGGATGGACTGAAACCTTATAAATTGTGTTTACAGCAAATAGTAACCAAGGAGCTGGTGAGGAAAGACCAAGGATAGTCACCAAAGTCGCATACAGATGATAGGAAAAGCTGAGCATGAAGTCTCACTGGACACACATAGGAACTCTACACCAAGGACTTCCGAGAAAGTCCGACCGGTGTATAAGACATTACAGACACTATTAAAGCCAGATTTTTCGATAGAGTAGGTAATAGATACCCTGGCTCCGTTGTTTGCTGTCTGTTTGTGCCCCATTGGTGAGATTTTTCCTGGATCTCTCTAAAGTGAGACAGTTGTCATTGGAACATATGTTCCCATTGGAAGATGTTCTTGTTCCAGTGACAACTGTTAAAATTTGGATTCTGATTTTTCCCGCTGAAGTAGTTGCCAGGACAAATAGAGAGTGCAAGTTTCCTCAGTCGGTACAAGGTCATCCATAAAAACCTCAAAGATTCTAACCTTTTATCACTCTAGCCAAAATGATAAAAAAATGACTTTTATATGCTTTAAGATGAAACGCTAACCTAGATTTTTTAAGGTCTGAGGGAAAATAATGCAAAACTTGATCTTCAGCAGATCAGCTATCACCCTTAGTCCTATGGTGATGGTCATGGGTCAGCTAATCCTTCTGGCTCTCCATTCAGAAATTATTTCCTCATTTATTCCCATGGAGAATCCAGTTGAGGGCTTGGTACACCAGAATTGTGGATGCATTCTTTTTTTAAGATTTATAAAGTCAAGTTCTAGCTTTGAAGTGTGGACAGGATGGTGGTATTAGATCTGGAAAATGTGTAAAGGTCTGGTAAATAAGAATAGTACTGCTCTGAAAAAAGGCCATGAAATGGACAGCTGGTGATCATTAAGGCTATCCTAACTTTGCTAACTTGTATGGGACTATTTCTTTATATTAACCACTTGCCTACAGGGCACTTATACCCCCTTCCTGCCCAGGCCAATTTTCAGTTTTCAGCGCTGTCACAATTTGAATGACAATTGCGCGGTCATGCAACTCTGTACCCATATGACCTTTTTATCATTTTTTTGAGACAGCTTTCTTTTGATAGTATTTAATCTCTTCTGGGTTTTTTATTTTTTGCTAAACAAACCAAAAACCACTGAAAAATTTGAAAAAAAAAATGTTTTCTTAGTTTTTGTTATACATTTTGTAAATAAGTGATTTTGCTCCTTCACTGATGTGCACTAATGAGGCTGCAGTGATGGGCACTGATAAGCTGCACTGATGGGCACTGATAGGTGGCATTGCTGATGCGCACTTATAGGTGGCACTGACTGGCACTTTTAGGCAGCACTGACTGGCAGCACTGATAGGCGGCACTAACTGGCACTGATAGGCGGCACTGATTGGCAGCACTGATAGGTGGCACTGAGTGGCATTGATAGGTGGCACTGACTGGCACTGATAGGTGGCAATGAAATGCAGCTCAGATGGGCACTGATATGTGAATTGATGTGCACTGGTAGGCATTGATGTGTGGCACTGATGGGCACTGGCAGGTGCCATTGATGAGCACTGACAGGTGGCACTGCTGGGGCTACACTGATCATCAGGGCACACTGATCATCCGTGCCCTGATGATCAATGTACATGCCGATTACCGGCTCTCCTCTCCTCCTGAGCTGTCAGCGTGACAGCTCTTGAGGTGAGAAATGCCGATAACCAGCATTTCCTTATTTACATGCGATCAGCTGTGATTGGACACAGCTGATCACATGACCGAGCTGCCATCTTTGGCTCTTTCCATTGATCGGTGATCCTCTGTGTCCTGACGCTGTGTGCCCCCGGAGCCGCGCATGTGCGGTTAGAGTGGGAGCACGTCATATGATGTCCTCCCAGAACGAGAGAACCACCTTGCACCCGTCATTTCCTTATATGGCGGGCGGGAGGCGGTTAAAGTATGTGTAAACCCATAAAACTAGAGTAGAGCAGTATTAAACCTAAAAAAGGAAAATTGTATTAGATTACAACTTACCAATCTTCAAAGTGTTACTAAACCCAGGACTCTGCATTCACTATATCTGGTCTCCCACAGTACACACAACATGGAAATGCAATTATTTTAGTAAATATAAACTGCTAAATACCTTTTCTCATCAGCAGTTAGAGCAGTCTTGTGACTTCAGCAGAGCACTGGTTAAAGCTTGTAGGAGGAGTTTTCATTTTGCTTTAGGAAGATGCAGAACCCCTGACCTCTGTCTGGACAGTGCTGATTGGCCCTGTGCTGATCACATGCACTCTCCCAAGAAAAAAAAAACCTCTCTAGAAATACACACCAAACTGAGCATGTGCAGAGTGACTCCACATGATATGTCTTATCTGGAGATAAGAGTAGGGACACTGGAAGAAGGCGGGATCAGAGAAGTCAGGATCAAACAGTGTTTTTACACAATGCAGAGGATTAACCCCTTAGGTTCCACAGTGAGTATACCAAGCATGCTTTACTGCATATACAGACTGATTTTACTGTTGTAGGTGTAGTAACACTTTAAATGTGGTACCTGCATTTGTTTTTTATTTTGGGCTTTGTTTCCTTTATTTTAACCTGGTGATAATGCCAGTAACACACTTCTTGTCTTAGGGTGTCTCCACTGTGGATGAAGGAGTAATGAAGGTACCCTTGGACAGCAGCATTGTAAAACTGGGGAATGAGTAGTGTTAGATACACTAGTAGATTTAGATGGACTTGACTAACATATTAAAGCTGAACTCCATCTTTTGTTCCACTTTACAACCAAGTTGGCCCAATCGTCCCTTACTAACATTTGATGCTGCTGCATGTGCTGTATAAGCGGAGGCTGCATATAGTATACAGCCAGGGGCGGACTGACAACTCATGGGGCCCCCGGGCAATAGGGGATCAGGGGGCCCCTGTGTCCTTGGCCAAACTCAAAAAAACCTATAAAAAAGGTACCAGGGGCATCTCATGGGGCCCCCTACTGACCCCGGGCCCTCGGGCAGTGCCCAAGTTTCCAAATGGTCAGTCCGCCCCTGTATACAGCACTGTGTTCAGGTGTGAGCCGAGACCTTCCTGTCTCAGTACCGGAACACAATAGAGTCTGCCGGAGCAGCACTCAGCCATTCAGAGAAAGCAATGTATTCTATCAATGAATACAAAGCTTTCTCTGATTGGCTGAGATAAAGAGGTGGGCTAAAGATGTCACAACCTCCAACACAACCAGCTTGGCCCGAACAAACTATGTAAAGTGGAACAAAAGAAGGAATTCAGCTTTATAGCTGAACTCCATCTAACAACTTTTAAGTGTTTGTCTCCTCACTGCCTGTCAACTGTCTCTGAAGCGACATCAAAGGTCTCCGACGCTCATCTACCTAAATCTTCCCTTAATAATCTGGTTAGAAATTCCACCATTGCTAGGTCAATTCCAGCAGGTTCCCAGGTATAATGTACCCAGGAAGGGGCTGCTAAGATTAGCATCACAGCAACAAAGGATGAAAAAAAGCTGAAAACTAGTGTTTTATTAAAGATATTGTTATGGTACAGGTTAACTAAATGTCAATCTGTTAGGATTTGCATCTATGAAATAGAACCCCATTCTCTTATCATTTTTATGTTTTAAACAAATAGTGGCTGTTCATTCATCAATGGCTCATTTCAAAGGGTGGCTAAGTATAAACCCACCAACTTTGTGCATGGAGTTTGTATGTTCTGAGTTTTGTGGGCTTTTTCTGTAGCCAAATGAGTGTAGAGACATTACAGTAGATTGTAAACTTATTTAGGGGCTAGAAACTAATGTGAGTTAAAGGGTAACTTCACCTTTTAGACCATGCTACATTGTAAACCCAAATTTTGGGTGTAAAACATAACATGGTGCCAAGCAGACCCCCCAAAATGCGTGTGAGGGTTCTTCTCTCAAATATCAGCTGTCATTCCTTCACAGAGATCTATGAATGAATAAACTACCATACTAAACCACAGCAGATGGATTTGTAGTTCTCAAAGGGACACAAGTGTGGTTACTACCACACTCTTAGTCACTGACACTTCCTCCAGCTCTCTAACTGAAAGTCTGTCAGTTAAGACCTGAACTGGGAGGAAGTCTGCAGGATCCTGGCATTGCACCCACTTTCCACTGTTGCAATGCTTTGCATGTTCCTATGCAAAAAAATAATAAACTTTTTGCTGCAAATATATATTTTTTCAAAAGGTGGACTTTCAATCTGTGTATCTCACTGGGGTTGATTTACTAAAAGGAGCAAAGGCTGTTTACTTAACATAGTAAATGTTTACTAGGTTTTGGTGAATATGGTGAAGCTCTGTTTGCTTTGAATACTCAATCACAGGTAAGTGAAAAATAAATTCTTTTGATTGGATGATTGAAGTGTACACAGCATCACTTTATTCTATAAACTCAGAGAAGAATCATTTCATTAGTGAATAGTCTCTATTCCTTTAATAGATAACCCTCAGTCAAACACATAATAGGTCAGCACTATAAAAAAAAAAATCAGGTTACTCACGTGTCTTCCATGCAGTGTGCTGCAGTTAGAACCCATTTGGAAGTGATGAGGGCTCCTCCACAGAAGCTCTGGCCCTTCATCTGTAGAGACACCATGTATGGTCTCGAATGCGCTTTGGCCTCTCGGCCCCCCACAATTCTATATGCTTCTGTTTTAACACAA